ATATATATATATATATATATATATATATATATATATATATATATATATATGTATATATATATAATCTGAATATTCCGACGTTGTGAAATGTGCGATAAGATTACGGTGCTATCTCGAAAAATACCCGTGAATTAATTTTTCGTTCTACCTAATCATAATTGTCGCCTGAATTGAATACCTAACCGCATGTTCTCATAAACTTTTCTGCAAACTTTTCGTATCTTTTTTGGCATCAAAACTAAATTTTGAAAGTGTAGTAGTGATCTTTGAACTTTTCCTGATTGAACCATTCACAGTTTCAGTATGTAGAACCTGCATAATGTTTGTATTAAGCAAATATTGCACTAACTGACAGCTCAAAATTAAAATTTATATAAATTTTTTTCGTTTTCGTCACATATTGAGCAATGCTCCAATTAATTTTTGCGTGTACTTTTGTTGTGTAAAAGCGCTTATAATTCCGTGCAAGCAACTAGAGGTAAACTTTGCAGAAAAAAGTCAATGTTTTTTTTCATATCCGGCATCCCTTTAAGACTTCATGTTTGTGACATCTATATACCCAATAAAAAATGATTCGTTGATTAACGTCAAAATGATATCAAATTAACGTCAGTTTGATGATTTTATTCGGGAAATGTAGGACCTGAGGCCGTATTCTTGACTAATATCCTATACGATATTTCGATAAAATACTATAGTATACGTAACATGAACTATAGCTTTTCATCGAAATTTTTCGAGAATAAGGCCCCAGAGCGCTGCCGTTTGGCTTGAACACGCGACCCCTCGTTTTCTTGAGCCGACCGGCGACCACTCGTGGCGCTTCGAGGCGAGAGATGACGTTGGAACGCAGCGAGGTGGTGGCGCGATGCAACGGTAGAAGGTGTGTAGACAAAGGGGGGCCTGCAGGATTTTTCCACAGTTTTTGGTGCGTCGTCTCGTGCACTAGGACAGCTCTCGAGAATAGGCCAAGCGAAGAATACAACTTGCGGGAATCTCTGATGCCCAAATGAGGGATTCAAAGACTGTATTCGTGAAGTAGTGTGATCGTTCTGAACTCATTAGTAGCGGGGAGGTTCATTACGACAGCGCAGGAGTCTCAATTGCGGACGCCTCATCCGCCATTGTGGATCGATGACACATCACAGTTCATGCGTTGTCCATGCGTGTTTCTTCAAAGCAAGTAAGACAGTTTCGGGGTACTAAAACCGTTTCTCGGTCCCTGACGCTCTCCAAAATTAGCACTTACTCAAACTGTTGTACGACCATAATCCAAACACCTTCATAGCGGAGAGACAGTGGCTTACAACCACTGGGAGATGTCTGAGGTCAACTCTGACATATCTTTTCTCCATGCTCCAAATGGTCATAATAAAGGGGGTGATTGGCCAACCCAAATAATAGTTGCAATCGACCAGAAGATCTCTGGAAGATTCAATCACTCATTGACCATAAACTGACCGAATACAATCTTCAGAGATTGAAGATCTTTGCTGCCGTACTCTCACTGCAGCGTGTCGTGAGCCTCAGAAAATCCAAGAATTGACCGGACAAGTCTCCGGAGATTCCGGACGTTGAATTGAACCGCCCGGGCTCGTCTCCGGAAGTTTGATTACCTATGCTCTCAACTAACATATTTCGTTTGACATTAGCATATACTATAACTATAATAATTTTAAATATATGTCATTTTGCTCATTTTTAGTTAGCATAAATTCTTATTCTTAATTCCAACTGATGTTGCCTTAATTATTGCTCCCCAGCCACACTCCCGTCAAATGAATCCGTTAGTAAAATCAATCTTTCCGATTTCACAGATTTCAACGTCGATTTGATTGAAACGTTGACAGTGAATTGACAGTGGAAGTTCTAAGCGTGGCGCTTGGTTTCAACCAATCGTATACGATAGTACGCAGCGAAACAACAGTTCTTTGCGTCTCTCGTACTGCACGTAAGACGGCATTGTGCTTTAAATTAACATATTCTTCTTGATATAGAGGAACACAATTAGAATAATATCTCACGATAAATGCACGATTGGTTTCCTTTAATGAAAGATGAATATGCTTTCTGTAAAATATTTCTTTTAGAACATGGGGTTAGAGGAAAATTCATTTTGTACGTAGAATATTTTTTTTGAGTGTTTGTACTTCTGTTTACGGTGTGTGATAGATGATAGGTAAGTGTGTAGAGAGAGTGTAAGAGAAAGAGAGAGAAAGGTTTGGTATTAAGGAGTCGTGTGAGTGAGAGGGAGAGAAGGGTAGTGAGAAGAGTGTGGAAATGTGTGTGGAAGGGTGACAGGGAGGGAACAGTGAAGGGATAGGAAAGTGAGGACGAAGTTGGAAGGCAGGAGAGATTAGGATAGTGAAGAAGGGCTGGAGAGGTAGAGAGGAGGGAAATAGAGAGAGACATCTAGGTGAGTGAGTAAGGACTGAAAAGCGAAAGTAGCGGCGGGGCAATAGCTAGAGATAGGCAGAGGCATAAACTAAAGAGTGGTGAGATAGATAGGGGTCAGAAGGAAAAGAACAACAGGATTAGAAAGAGAGGATAAGAGGAGAGGTTGAAGAAAAGGGATATGGCGGAAAGGAATGAAGGGTCAATGCAGAAGGGGAGAAGGGGTTTGTTAAAGGAGAAAAGAAGAGGAAGTGTGGGAACATTGAAGGAGATATTTAAGAGAAAGAGGGAGAAAGAGGAGGAAGAACGGGGAAGGGAGGAGGAGGAAGTAGATAGGAAAGAGGAGGAGTGCTATGTTTTGAAGAAGAGAAGGAGGACATGGTGGTCCCCACAGAAAGAGGAGAGAGGAGGTGAGGCGGAGGGGACGGGAAGAGGAAGGGAGCTGGATGACTGCAGGAGGGAAATGAGGGAGATGGTGAAGGTGATAAAAGAGATGAAGGAGGAAATAGATAGTCAATGGAAAGAAATGAGGGAGGAGCTAGAGGAGATGAGGAGGTTGTTGGGAGTGAAGGAGGAAGTGTGGAGAAGAGAATGAAGAGCTAAGAGGAAGAATAAAGGAACTGAAAGAGAGAATAGAGAGGAAGGAAGAGAAGATAGCGAGAGTTATGGACGAAGGGGAGAGAGAGACAGGGGAGCTAAGTGAGAGAGATAAGAAAGGTGGAAAAAAGGGTGGAGATGAGAGAAGGAGAAGAAAAAAGAAGGAATATAATGGTAAAAGGGATGAAGGGGGAGGAGAAGAAAGTAGAGGGGAGAATAAAAAAAATAATGAAGGGGATGCGGATAGAGGGAGGGATAAGGGATGTGAAGAAAATGGGGAGAGGAGAGGGAGGTGGGTGGGTAAGGATTAGAATAGAGAAACTGGAAGTGAAAAAGAAGATAATGAGGAAGAAGGAGTGGGAAAAGAGAAAGGTGTGGATAAGAGATGATTTAACGTGGAAGGAAAGAAAGATGAAGTGGAATTTGGAGGAGATTGTTAGAATAGAGAGGGGAAAGGGAAGGAGGGTATGGGTAAGGTACGGAAAAATACAGATAGATGGGAAGTGGTGGAGTTGGGAGGAGGATGATGAGAGGTTGAGATTGAGAGATGGGGAGGTTGGGAGAAGTGAGGTAACGGGGGAATCAGATTAGAGGAAAGGAAGAAGGGAGGGAGGGGGGAAAAGAAAGGAGGAAGGATGGAAAGTAGCGTTATGGAATGTAGCGAGATTGGGGAACAAGGACAAGGAATTCTGGGAGAGGGTGAAGAAATAGGAGGTGGTAGTGATGATGGAAACGAACGTTGTACACTGAGAGAAAAATTATCTTAAAATCAACAAACATTTCCTTGGTGGGTGCCATTAACATATTTACTTAAATCTACATTCTCTTTACTTAAATCAAATATTGTTTACTTAATTCAAATAAACAATATTTGATTTAAGTAAAGAGAATGTAGATTTAAGTAAATATGTTAATGGCACCCACCAAGGAAATATTTGTTGATTTTAAGATAATTTTTCTCTCAATGTAGTGATGATGGACTACGGAAGGAATATAGATGGAAAGTACAGATGGCGGGAAGAAGGAACAGAAAGGGGAGGGCGAGAGGAGGAATGTTAGTAGGAGTGAAGAAGGACTTAGGAGGGATAAAGTTAGAGAAAGAGGAGGAGAAAAGGAAGGGAGGATAAAAAGGGAAATTATCAGGGAAGGATGTAAGTGGATGATTATAGGAGTATACATAAATGGGAATATATAGAGGAAGCTAGAAGGGTTGAAAGAATGGATGCAGGATAGAGAAGAAGGGAAGAAGGTGGTTATAAGAGGAGACTTTAATGCGAGGACGGAAGAGAGGGGTGGGTGGAGTGAGGGAGGAGCAAGGAGGGCGGAGGAGATTAAAGGACGAAAAGGGGAAGTCAAGAAGTTGCTACAGGCAATAGAAGAAAGAGGATTCGTGAATTGGAATAATATCTTATAAATACACGATGAGTGGTTCCCTTTAATGAAAGATAAATATGCTTTCTAAAATATTTCTTTTAGAACATGGGGTTAGAGGAAAATTCACATTGTACGTAGAATATTTTTTTTGGCTGTTTGTTTGCGTCTATTTCTTACGGTAAAGCAGCTTATAAACTTTGATGGATATCTCTGTTCGACATAGGAATGATCGTCTTCAAATAGGATAAAACATGTCGACGGCAACATATACAATCTGCCAAGCAAGGTAAAAGATTTATGACAAGAAAGCCGCCTGAATTTTGCTTCTGAAATCTCACTCGTCCTTTCATCTTGTCCAACACACTCTCCAGCATTTGAGGAGTGCATCACGCAGAGTAGCACTTAGCGCGAGAATTGCAGCCAAGCGAAATCGATCACAGTTTGTGATCAGATTTCTTCATCATCATGGCAACTTTACAGGTGATACCTTTTCTCCTAGGTAAGTTGCGAGTTCCGTTGCTCGATTAAGCTTTGATACGATTTCATTACAACTACTAATGTTATTATCGGTCTTCTCCAGCCACGGTAGTTCCGAGTAGCGAAGCAACCAACAGTTCTGTATTCACATTCAACGTGTCGATACATATAAAACACGACGAGGTAATGAACAAACTAAATACGCCATATGACAATACCCTGTTTATCATTGTCGTGTGTGAGTCGTCCTTGTTTCCTAATCTGGATTGTTTCATCGAAAAAGTCGAGTTTAATTATAAAAAGGACTTTCCCAATGACGACTTCGTTGTGCCTTTCATCACCTACAAACGAACACAGTTCGTAATAACACTCGATATGTACAAAGTGCAATGTTACATCGATATGCAAGAAAGCCCGAATAAGTCGTTTCTGCGAGACATCTGCGAGATGGTCGGGGATCAGCTGAATATCGGTACTGACATAGTAACGCCGAAGGGAAATTACTTTACAGCGATGGAGAATTCCGCCATCGGCAAATGCCTGACGTTTTACCAAGTCTACTATCGACCTGGCTATGTGTCCAACAACTTTTTGGAACATGTCCGAACATTCCACATATTAGGCAACAAGGATTTCAAGCTTATTCCACACCATACTTTGCACGTTAGCAAATATAGATATATGGACAGTTGCTCTCCGCCGCATGATTATATGTTGGGAAAAATGTTCCGGCCCTACTACATTCCAAATTACTACGTCTCGAAGCTAGTACGTATTGAAGAATTCATTTATTATTCATGGATATGATTCGCATGATTTGAGAATATTGGCAGCGATTGTTGCAGACGTCGGTCGTCGCGCTGAGTTTCTTCTTTAGTTGAATAGCTTTGTTAGTTTCAGTAGCTTTCATAACATCAAAACATAACATTAACATAATTGAATCTGGGCGATAGAGAATTTGCTTACGACCTGAGGATGAATTGATGCATTCACATTTATGCGTTTTTTGCACTAACAATGTGCAATTAATATACTTTGAGAGAAAAAGAGATACATCGAATAAATTATTTGGAACTGTAAAGTACTACGAGTGATGTAATCTTGATTATGTACAATTGTTTGTTGCAGGACAAATCGCACTCTCGAATGTCGTTCACTATGCATTCCTTTACTTCCATGACAGAAAGGACATTTGAAATACGTAACAGCCTCAAAGAAGTTGCTGGAGTTATTCATGAGAGAATTACACTCGAATTAGCATCGGTGGAAGAAAAAACATGATAAAGAAGATATTTTGTCCCTATTACTTTTAGATTGCTACGGTCTCAGGACGATATGTAATAATTTGTCACAAATATATTAATTGCTGTACAAGTATATTAATTGTTATTGTTTCAAATTAATATTTCAACATATCTAATTTTACAATCTTCCGCAAATTACATAATCTATTGCAGATTCACAATGAAGATGTAAAAGATCTATTGGAATACTTCTAATATTAATGTCACCATTAGTTTGTTAAATAATTGTTTCAATATAGATAATTGTTTCAGTATAGATAGTTTATATGATATAGCAACTTTTGATTTCTAGCATTACATCTTACATCACATATTACATTATATCTTTTATACATTTCTAGCATTACATCTTTTACGTTTGTGCGATTTAAAATTATATTCATTATAAATCAAGAAACTACTTTTGAATATAGTTTTACCTAATGCAATTGCGTGACAATCAGTAACCACCTTATTGTAAATGTTTATGTATCATTCAATTACCATGCAATTAAATACGGTAAAACAGCAATGAAAAGTATTTGGCCCATGTTCGTTCGTTTCATTAAATTTGTCTTTATTTTTAAAATATTGAAATTATTAAATTAGGACATACCCAAGTAGAACAGAAAATTACGATGGCGAGAAAATAAGCGAATTGTGCTTGAAAAGCTTTTTAATCATTTCGGCATTATCTTGACCTTTCGGTGGTTTTAAATCAAAATCGTACCGAGCAATGTTTACCGACATATATGAGATTGACGATGACAGAGCAACAGAAATAACTGATAATGACAATTATTAAAAATTGATGGTATCATCCACATATGAATTATTACACGATATATATCTCCTTTTTCTTCTATATCTTCATCATCGTCTAAATACCATTATACGCGTAACAGTTTATCACAAATGATTACTAAATAATTAAATAACTTATATCTTTCACTATATAACTTTTAACTTTTAACTTATAACTAAATAACTTATATCTTTTTAATTCTGCACATTACAGATCATCAGTTCATAAATTTCGCATTAATGCTACTTCACGTTCTACAAGTGTATGCGCGGACATGTTAATCGTAGATATATAAAACAATTGAAAAAATTAAGATTCATATTTTCACTACGACTCTGTCAATTTATTTGAAATTCTTGTTCAGTTACGTGTTAGTTTTTATTATGTGTTAGTTTCTAGCTGTTATTTTATAGCTGGAAAACGTTTCGAAAGGCGCTTTTGTCCCGACACAAATGATAATCGCTCTTCAGTTGCGAGGTGTCGCAGTATAAATATTCGCGAAACCAAGCGTTCGCAAGTTGTTTCTGCGGCGCACACGTTCCTACCACACGCGAGGGCTATATACAAGGTGAGAAAGTTCGTTTTTTCAATAAACAAAGAATCGATTCGCTCTTTCGCGCTGTTCGAATTTCTTTTCTAAAATTCTGTTTTCGTTTGCATCTCGCCTGAACACGCATTCTTTAGCGTCTACAAAGAATTGCACGTTGCACGTGACCTTACGCGAAAACTGAAGTTGCGAAGATAGATCGATCTCGCGGAAGCAACCTCACAGAGACACCAGCATTATTCAGTAATTAGCGAATCACGATGATAGTTATACCGATGATACCGTTTTTCTTAGGTCAGTTAAACGTTCCGTTACTAGGTTAAACCTCGGTACGGTCTCATTACAACGAGTAATGTCATGCTCGACTTCTTCCAGGCTATCTTGCACGGAATACAAACACCCCTGGGATCTCGTACATATTCCACGTGCGGATAGAAACGTTATTATTAGGATACTCAGGAACAGCTATTAATGGAAGCAACGCCGGCCTGCAATTCAATCTGAAGTGTGAACCGTATATGGATCAAAATTTAATATGTCACATCCCGAAGATCATTTTTTATTCACCTAGAACTGACTCTGCACACATAATAGACAAACTCAGCAACACATCTTGCATAATGAACTTCCAACCGTACGGAGTAACGAATTATCACGTATTCTCGGAAAATATGGAAAACAAGGAAACTGTGTTGGAAGTATTCCGGTTTATCGGGCATCAGCTGAGCGTCGGTGTTGACCTCAACAATTGGGGCTACGAATTCAGCACGATAGAGGACACCGTTATCGGCACATGCGCGACAATTTACAAAATAACTCGAAATAAGGCTTTCAATTATATAAGTTATTCTGAGCTGGTCTCCTTAATTGCAAAGGAAAGATACATTATAAAGGAGAACGAATTCCTCCTTATTAATAAACTAAGACGTGTGGAATATTGCACACCGAAGGACAATTCTATCCTCGGAAGGATCTTATGGCCCAACCTCATAACATCGAATATCATCGCGAAGCCGGTACGTATCGATGAATTCATTTAGGCCCTCGTGGTCATTTAAACTCAGGAGTTTCGAATCGCACGACTCGACTACGTCAACAGAGGCGTGTTTTCGTTTCGTGACCACGGTAGCATTTGGTTGCTTAGTTTGGTCCACTTAACACTCGCAAAACCACGAGCCTCATCCTATCTTTGTTGCTCGAGGCGTTGCGAGAGTTAAGTAGACCAAACTAATCAACCAAACGCTACCATCGTCACGAAACGAAAAAACGCCTCTGTTGGCCGTTGCATCGACTCCTTTTGTTTCCCTTGTGCAACAGTTTAATCGTAGTCAAGAAACTGTCTAAGGATACGTGGTAGGGATCAATAGATTAAGTTAAGTTCAAAGTCAACTTTCCGACATACACCTAGTCCTAGACACAATGTTGTTATAGTTTTGGTCTTCAAATACAAATATGTTCAAACATTTAGCGTAGAAAATATGTATCTTATGTTGCTATACATTATGTTAGAATATTCTATGTTGAATGTTTAAACACTGAAGGCCGGTTTTTTCAATGATAGTTTAAACTTGGATTCAAGTTTAATTTCTAACAATGCTTTTGTTTTATTTAAACAGAGTTCAAGTTGAAATCTAAGTTTAAACTAACATTGAAAAACTGCTCCTTAAAGACCAAAAATAGTGAGAACGTCCAGAATTAGTCACGTGACATTGATAATTTTACATTGTGCGTGAATTAATTTCGATAACGATCTCCGGGCAACTCGTCTCGACATTCAATGCATTAGACATAGTTGTGACGAAGAAAGTTAATCAATATAAGTACATATATTAGCATTTATTAGGTAATTAATACATTTTGTCAAATCGGCTTGTGTGATTATGAGATTATAAGTATATTCTCGAGTGTGTTTGTATGCATTTTTGTTTGTTGCAGCAAAGCTCGGAGTCTCAAATGACATATACTTCACACGATTTCTACACCAAGACTATAAATGAATTTCATCTCTATAGTGAGCAACATAGGATAGTTGGCTCTGTCCAGGAAACGATTAATCTTAAATTGGGATGGATAGAAAACTGAAAAACGCGACACGAATATCGCATCTATTCGTTCAATGAAACGCTGAAGATTACACTCAATGACCTCAATTTGGTAACGGGCAAAATTACACGGAGGATGTATTTTTAATTCGTTTTTAAAATATTGTTGACATGCAGTATTAAACTGCATAAACTGTTACTAACTACGAAAACACGATATATATTTCTTACTCTTTTATGTCCTTCGGTACTTATTGCTGGTATAGATAACAATATACAGCCTTTGTTATGTTGTTATTTTTTCTATAATAAAATTTATAATTTTGCCGCCCGATAACTTCTCCGACTTGCTTAATTCTTCTCTTTATAAAAAGAGAATCACCAAATAATAAATTTCTTATTCTTATTACCTCGTCACTCACTTATGTGTACATATATGTGTCTCAAGAGCGTAATTAAAAATATTTCATGAGTCCATTACTAATGCAATCATACGAAACAAATAGAGGTAAACGATTTATTAGGACTTTCCTTCGTCGATATTGTCTATTAGTTTATTATGTGTATCGTTATATCTGTCATACATTATCGTAGCATCTGTATATGTTTGTGTTTTGTTTGTGTCTATTTCTTACGGTAAAACAGCTTATAAACTTTAATGGATCTCTGTTCGACAGAGTAATGATCGTCTTCAAAAAGCATAGAACATGTGGATGACAACATCTGCGATCATGCAAACAAGGTAAAAGACTTATAAGATAAGAAAACCACTGAATTTTGCTTCTGATATCTCACTCGTCCTCTTATCTTTTCAAACGCACTCTTCAGCATTTGAAGAGTGCATCACGCAGAGCAGCTCTTAGCACGAAAATTGCAGCCAAGAGAAATCAATCACAGTTTGTGATTAAACTTCTTCTTGGCAACTTTACAGGTAATACCTTTTCTTCTAGGTAAGTTGAGCGTTCTGTTGCTCGATTACTTTGATACGATCTCAACTACTAACGTTATTATCGGTCTTCTCCAGCCACGGTAGTTCTGAGTAGCGAAGCATCCAACAAATCTGTATTGACATTCAAAGGATACAGATAAAACACGACGAACTATTGAACAAACTAGATACGCCATATGACAATACCCTGTTTATCATTGTCGTGTGTGAGCCGTCCTTATTATTTGATCTGTATTGTTTTAGCGACAAAATTAAACATACTTGTAAAACGGACATTTCCAATGACAACTTCGTTGTACCTTCTATCATCTACGAGCGAGTACAGTACGTAATAACATTTAATATGTACAAAGTACAATGTTACATCTATATGCAAGACAGCCCGAGTAAGTCGTTTTTGCGAGACATCTGCGAGATGGTCGGGGATTAGCTGAATATCGGTACTGACATAGTAACACCGAACGGACATTACTTCAAAGCGATGGAGAATTCCGCCATCGGCAGATGCCTGACGTTTTACCAAGTCTTCTATCAACCTGGCTATAATGTGTCCGACTACTGTCTGGACCGTACATTTCACATATCAGGCAACAAGAATTTCAAGCTTATTCCAAACCACACTTTGCACGTTAGCAAATACAGATACATGGACAGGTGCTTTCCGCCGCGTGATTATATGTTGGGAAAAATGTACCAGCCCGAGTACATTCCAGATGACTGCGTGTTGAAGTTAGGACGTATCGATGAATTCATTTAGTATTCATGATTATTGAGACTTTGATTCGCATGATTTGAAAACGTTGATAGTGATTTTTGTAGACGTCGATCGTCGCTGAATTTCTTTTTTAGTTGAATAGCTTGATTAGTTTCTGTAGCTTTCATAACACAAAAACATAACATAAACATAATTGCTGGAATCTGCGCGATAGAGGATTTGCTCGCGACTGGTGCATGAATTAATGCATTCACTTTTATGCATTTGCATTAACAATGTGCAATTATCACACTTTGAAGGAGAAAGGGATAGGTCGAATAAATTATATGAAAATGTAAAGTGTTACGAGTTGATGTAACCTTGATTGTGTGTGTGCGCGATTATTTGTTGCAGAACGAATCACACTCTCGAATGTCGTTCACTATGAATTCCATTACTTCTATGAAAGAAAAGGCTTTTGAAATACGTAACAGCATTAAAAAAGTTGCCGTTGATATTCATGAGAGAATTACACTCAAATTAGCATCGGGGGAAGTAAAAATATTATAAAGAAGATATTTTTTCCCTATTACTTTTATATTGCTACGGGCTCAGGACGATATGTAGTAATTTATCACAAAGATATTAATTGTTATGCAAATATATTAATTGTTATTATTGTAAATTAATATTTAATCATATCTAATTTTACAATCTCCTGAAAATTACGTAATCTATTGCAGATTCACAATGCAGATGTAAACGATTTATTGGAATACTTCTAACGTTAATGTCACTATTAGTTTGTTAGATAATTGTTTCAATACGGACATTTGTTTATCATATGCGATATAGCATCTTTTGATTTCTAGCATTATACATATTTCTAGCATTACATCTTTTACGTTTGTGCGATTTAAAATTATATTCCTTATAAATCAAGAAACTACTTTTGAATATAGTTTTACGTAATGCAATTGCGTGGCAAACAGTAACAACATTATTGTAAATATTTACTACTCAGTTTCTATGCAATTAAATACGGTAAAACAGCAATAAAAAGTATTTGATCCATTTTCGATCGTTTTATTAAATTTGTCTTTATTTTTAAAATATTGAAATTATTAAAGTAGCGCCTGCCCAAAAAGACCAAAAAATTACGATGGCGAGAAAATAAGCGAATTGTGCTTGAAAAGCTTTTTAGTCATTTCGGCGTTATCTTGACCTATCGGTTTTAAATCAATTTCGTACCGAGCAATGTTTACCGACATATATGAGATTGCCGATGACAGAACAACAAAAATAACTGATAATGACAATTATTAAAAATTGATGGTACCATCCACACACACACATGAATTTTTCACGATATATATCTCCTTTTTCTTTTGTATCTTTATCATCGTCTAAATATCATTATACGCGTTTATAACAGTTTACCACAAACGATTACTAAATGATTAAATAACTAAATAACTTATATCTGTTTAATTCTGCACATTATAGAACATGCGTTCATTAATTTCACCTTAATTCTACTTCACGTTCTACAAGTGTATGCGCGTGCATGTTAATCGTAGATGTATAAAAAAAAGTTAAGTTGAAAACATTAAGAGTCATATTTTCACTACTCTATCAATTTAATTGAAGTTTTGTTCAGTTACGTCTTAGTTTTTATTATGGGTTAGTTTCTAGCTATTATTGTATAGCTGGAAGACGATTCGAAAGACGCTTTTGTCCGGACACAAATGATGATCGCTCTTTAGCTACGCGGTTCGCAGTATAAATATTCGCGACACCAAGCTTTCGCAAGTTGTTTCTGCGGCGTACACGTTCCTACCACACGGCACGCGAGGGCTATATACAAGGTGAGAAAGTTCGTTTCTTCAATAAACAAAGAATCGATTCGCTCGTTTGCGCCGTTTGAATTTCTTTCCTAAAATTCTGTTTTCGTTTACATTTTGCCTGAACACTCATTCTTTAGCGTCTACAGAGAATTGCACGTTGCTTGTGACCTTACGCGAAAACTGAAGTCGCGAAGATAGATTGATCCCGCTGAAGCAACCTCACGGAGACACCAGTATTATTCAGTAATTAACGGACCACGATGATAGTTATACCCATGATACCGTTTTTCCTAGGTCAGTTGAACGTTCCGTTACTCGGTTAAACCTCGGGACGGTCTCATTACAACGAGTAATGTCATGCTCGACTTTTTCCAGGCTATCTTGCATGGAATACTAGCAGTCCTACGCCCTCGTACATATTTCACGTGCGGATAGAAACGTTATTATTCGGATATTCAGGAACACGTAATAATGGAGGCAACGCCGATCTGCAGTTCAATCTGAAATGTCAGCCGTTTATGGATCAAAATTTAAAATGTCACATCGAAAAAACTACTTCTTATTCACCTAGCACTGACCCCGCACACATAATAGACAAACTCAGCAACATACATTGCATAATGAACTTCCAACCGTACGGAGTAAGCAGTTATGACGTATTCCCGGAAAACGTGGAAAACAAGGAGACTGCGTTGGAAGTATTTCGGTTTATCGGGCATCAGCTGAGCGTCGGCGTTGACATTAAAAAATACTACGGCTACGAATTCAGCGCGATAGAAGACACCGTATTCGGCATATGCGCGACAATTTACACAATAAGTCGAAATAAGGTTTCCAATTATATGTTATATTCCGAGCTGGTCTCCTTAATTGCGAAGGAAGTGTACACTATAAAGAAGGACGAATCGGTCAATATTAAGAAAATAAGGCTTGTGGAATCTTGCAAATCGAGGAACGCTGCTATCTTCGGAAGGATCTTATGGCCCAACCTCATAACATCGAATATCGTCGCGAAGCTGGTACGTATCGACGAGTTCATTTAGATCCTCGTGGTCATTAGAACGCAGGAGTTTCGATTCGCACGACTCGACTACGTCAACAGAGGCGTTTTTTCGTTTCGTGACCACGGTAGCGTTTGGTTGGTTAGTTTGATCCACTTAACACTCGCCAAACCGCGAGCGTCATTCTATCTTTGTTGCTCGAGGCATTGAAAGAGTTCAGTAGAGCAATCTAATCAACCAAACGATACCATGGTCACGAAACGAAAAAACGCCTCTGTTGGCCGTTGCATCGACTCCTTTTGTTTCGCTTGTGCAACAATTTAATCGTAGTCAAGAAACTGTCTAAAAATACGCGGTAGAGATCAATAGAACACGTTAAGTTCAAAATCAACTTCCCGACATACACCTAGTCCTAGACACAATATTGTTATTGTTTTGGTCTTCAAATACAAATATGGTCAAACATTCAGCGTAGAACATATGTATCTTATGTTGTTATAAATTATGTTAGAATATTTTATGTAGAATGTTTAAACACTGAAGGCCGGTTTTTTCAATGATAATTTAAACTTGGATTCAAGTTTAGCTTCTAACAATGCTTTTGTTTTATTTAAACGGAGTTTAAGTTGAAATCTAAGTTTAAACTATCATTGAAAAACTGCCCCTTAAAGACCAAAAATAGTGAGAACGTTCAGAATTAGTCACGTGACATTGATAATTTTATATTGTGCGTGAATTAATTTCGATAACGATCGCTGGGAAACTCGTCGCGACATTCAACCCATTAGACACAGTTGTGAAGAAGAAAGTTAATCAATATAAGTACATAAATTAGTTAGCATTAACTGGGTAATTAATGCATTTTGTCAAAGCGGCTTGTGTGATTATGAGATTATAAGTATATTCTCGAGTGTGTGTGCATTTTTGTTTGTTGCAGCTAAGCTCGGAGTCTCAAATGACATATACTCAGCACGATTTCTACACCAACACTATAAATGAATTTAATCTCTATGATGAGCAAGATAAGATAGTTGGTTCTATCCACGAAACGATTTATGTTAAATTAGTATGGATAGAAAACTGAAAAACGCAAGACGACTATGGCATCTATTCGTTCAATAAAACGCTGAGGATTACACTCAGTGACATCAATTAGGTAACGGGCAAAATTACACGGAGGATGTATTTTTAATTCGTTTTTAAAATATTGTTGACATGGAGTATTAAACTGCATAAAGTGTTACTATTATTATAACTACAAAAACACGATATACATATCTTACTGTTTTATGTCCTTCGGTGACTTATTGCTGGTATAGATGACGATATACCGCCTTTGTTATGTTGTTATTTTTTCTATAATAAAATTTATAATTTTGCGGCCCGATAACTTCTCCGACTTGCTTAATTCTTCTCTATATGAAAAGAGAATCACCAAATAATAAATTTCTTATTCTTATTACCTCGTCACTCACTTATGTGTACATATATGTGTCTCAAGAGCGTAATTAAAAATGATTCATGAAACCATTACTGATGCAATCATACGAAACAAATATAGGTAAACGATTTATTAGGACTTTCCTTCGTTAACATTGTGTATTAGTTTATTACATGTATTGTTATATCTGTCATACATTATCGTAGCATCTGTGCATCGTAGCATGTGTTTGTGTTTCATTTGTGTTTATTTCTTACGGTAAAGCAGCTTATAAACTTTGACGGATCTCTGTACGATAGAATAATAATCGTCTTCAAATAGCCAGAACATGTGGATGGCAATATTTGATGATTAAGATTCATATTTTCACAACGACTCTGTCAATTTATTTGAAGTTTTTGTTCAGTTACTTGTTAGTTTTTATTATGTGTTAGTTTCTAGCTATTATTGTATAGCTGGAAGACGATTCGAAAGGCGCTTTTGTCCGGACACAAATGATCACCGCTTCTTAGTTGCGCGATTCGCAGTATAAATATTCGCGACACCAAGCTTCGCAAGTTCTTTCTGCAGTGCACATTGCTGCCACACGGCACGCGAGGGCTATATACAAGGTGAGAAAGTTCGTTTCTTCAATAAACAAAGAATCGATTCGCTCTTTTGCGCCGTTTGAATTTCTTTCCTAAAATTCTGTTTTCATTTGCATTTCGCCTGAGCACTCATTCTTTAGCCTCTACGGAGAATTGCACGTTGCTCGTGATCTTACGCGAAAACTGAAGTCGCGAAGATAGATCGATCCCGCGGAAGCAACCTCACGGAGACACCAGTATTATTCAGTAATTAGCGGATCACGATGATAGTTATACCCATAATACCGTTTTTCCTAGGTCAGTTGAACGTTCCGTTACTCGGTTAAACCTCGGGACGGTCTCATTACAACGAGTAATGTCATGCTCGACTTTTTCCAGGCTATCTTGCACGGAATACAAGCAACCCTACGCCCTCGTACATATTCCACGTGCAGATAGAAACGTTATTATTCGGATACACAGGATCACGTAATAATGAAGGCAACGCCAGCCTGGATTTCAATCTGAAATGTCAGCTGTATATGGATCAAAATTTAAAATGTCACATCCAGAATGCCAATTCTTATTCACGTAGCACTGATTCCGCACATATAATAGACACACTCAGCAACATACATTGCATAATGAACTTCCAACCGAACGGAGTAAAGAGTTATGACGTATACCCGGAAAACGTGGAAAACAAGGAGACTGCGTTGGAAGTATTTCGGTTTATCGGGCATCAGCTGAGCGTCGGCGTTGACCTCAAAAAATACTACGACTACGAATTCAACGCGATAGAGGACACCGTTATCGGCACATGCTGGACAATTTACCAAATAAGTCATAATAACGCTCCCGATTATATAAGTTATTCCGAGCTGGTCTCCTTAATTGCGAAGGAGAAGTACATTATAAAGAAGAACGAATCGGTCATTATTAATAAACTGAGAATTGTGGAAGATTGCACACCGAGGGACGATTCTATCCTGGGAAGGATCTTATGGCCCAACCTCATAACACCGAATATCACCGCGAAGCCGGTACGTATCGACGAGTTCATTTAGGCCCTCGTGGTCATTAGAACGCAGGAGTTTCGATTCGCACGACTCGACTACGTCAACAGAGGCGTTTTTTCGTTTTGTGACCACGGTAGCGTTTGGTTGGTTAGTTTGGTCCAACACTCGCAAAATCGCGAGCGTCATTCTATCTTTGTTGCTCGAGGCGTTGCGAGAGTTAAGTAGACCAAACTAATCAACCAAACGCTACCATGGTCGCGAAACGAAAAAACGCCTCTGTTGGCCGTTGCATCGACTCCTTTTGTTTCGCTTGTTCAATAATTTAATCGTAGTCAACAAACTGTCTAAGGATACGCGGTAGAAATCAATAGAACAAGATAAGTTCAAAGTCAATTTCCCGACATACACCTATTCCTAGACACAAAGTTGTTATTGTTTTGGTCTTCAAATACAAATGTTTAAACATTCAGCGTAGAACATATGTATCTTATATTGTTATATATCATGTTAGAATATTTTATGTTGAAAATTTAAACACTGAAGACCGGTTTTTTCAATGATAGTTTAAACTTGGATTCAAGTTTAGCTTCTAACAATGCTTTTATTTTATTTAAACAAAGTTTAAGTTGAAATCTAAATTTAAACTATCATTGAAAAACTCCCCCTTAAAGACCAAAAATAGTGAGAACGTTCAGAATTAGTCACGTGACATTGATAATTTTACATTGTGCGTGAATTAATTTTGATAACGATCGCCGGGCCACTCATCGCGACATTCAACGCATTAGACATAGTTGTGAAGAAGAAAGTTAATTAATATAAGTACATAAATTAGTTAGCATTAACTGGGTAATTAATGCATTTTGTCAAAGCGGCTCATGTGATTGTGAGATTATAAGTATATTCTCGAGTGTGTGTGTATGCATTTTTGTTTGTTGCAGCTAATCTCGTGGTCTCAAATGACATATAACCTGCGCGATTTCTACACTTATGCTATAAATAATTTTAATCTCTATAATGAGCATGATAGGACAGTTGGCTCTGTCAAGGAAACGATTGATCTTAAATTGGTATGGATAGAAAACTGAAAAACGCGACACGAGTATCGCATCTATTCGTTCAATGAAACGCTGTGGATTACACTCAGTGACATCAATTTGGTAACGAGCAAAATTACACGAAGGATGTATTTTTAATTCGTTTTTAAAATATTGTTGACATGCAGTATTAAACTGCATAAAGTGTTACTATTATTATAACTATGAAAACACGATTAATATTTCTTACTATTTTATGTCCTTCGGTGACTTCTTGCTGGTATAGATGACGATATACCGCCTTTGTTATGATGTTATTTTTTCTTTAATAAAATTTTGCCGCCCGATAACTTCTCCGACTTGCTTAATTCTTCTCTTTATGAAAAGAGAATCACCAAATAATAAATTTCTTATTCTTATTACCTCGTCACTCACTTATGTGTACATATATGTGTCCTAAGAGCGTAATTAAAAATATTTCATGAGTCCATTACTGATGCAATCATACGAAACAAATACAGGTAAACGATTTATTAGGACTTTTTTTCTTCGATATTGTCTATTAGTTTATTATGTGTATTGTTATATCTATCATACGTCATCGTAGCATCTGTATATGTTTGTGTTTTGTTTGTGTCTATTTCTTACGATAAAGCAGCTTATAAACTTTGGCGGATCTCTGTTCGACAAAGTAATGATCCTCTTCAAATAGCATAGAACATGTGGATGCAAACATTTGCATCCAGGAAAATAAGGTAAAAGAATTATAATATAAGAAAAGAAAACCGCCTGAATTTTCCTTCTGAAATCTCACTCGTCCTCTCATCTTTTCAAATGCACTCTTCAGCATTTAAAGAGTGCATCACGCAGAGCAGCACTTAGCACGAGAATTGCAGCCAAGAGAAATCGATCACAGATTGTGATCAGACTTCTTCATGGCAACTTTACAAGTGATACCTTTTCTCCTAGGTAAGTTGAGTGTTCTGTTGCTCGATTATTTTGATACGCTCTCAACTACTAACGTTATTATCGATCTTCTCTAGCCACGGTAGTTCCGAGTAGCGAAGCAAACAACAAATCTGTATCGACATTCAAAGGATATAGATAAAACACGACGAAATATTGAACAAACTAGATACGCCATATGACAATACCCTGTTTATCATTGTCGTGTGTGAGCCGTCCTTATTATTTGATCTGTATTGTTTTATCGACAAAATAAAGCATACTTGTAAAACGGACTTTTCCAATGACAACTTCGTTGTACCCTCTATCATCTACGAGCGAGTACAGTTCGTAATAACATTCAATATGTACAAAGTGCAATGTTACATCTATATGCAAGACGGCCCGAATAAGTCGTTTTTGCGAGACATCTGCGAGATGGTCGGGGATCAGCTGAATATTGATACGGACATAGTAATACCGAACGGACATTACTTCAAAGCGATGGAGAATTCCGCCATCGACAGATGTCTAACGTTCTATCAACCTGGCTATAATGTGTCCGACTACTGTCTGGACCGTACATTTCACATATCAGGCAACAAGAATTTCAAGCTTATTCCAAACCACACTTTGCACGTTAGCAAATACAGATACATGGACAGGTGCTTTCCGCCGCGTGATTATATGTTGGGAAAAATGTACCAGCCCGAGTACATTCCAGATGACTGCGTCTTGAAGTTAGGACGTATCGATGAATTCATTTAGTATTCATGATTATTGAGATTTTAATTCGCATGAATTGAGAACGTTCATAGTGATTTTTGCAGACGTCGGTCGACGCGCTGAATTTCTTTTTTAGTTGAATAGCTTGATTATTTTTTATAGGTTTCACAACATAAAAACATAACATTAACATAATTGCTGGAATCTGCGCGATAGAAGATTTGCTCGCGACTGGTACATGAATTAATGCATTCACATTTATTCATTTGTATTAGCAATGTGCAATTAATACACATTGAAGGAATACATCGAATAAATTATATGAAAATGTAAAGTGTTATAAGTTAATGTAACCTTGATTATGTGTGTGCGCGATTATTTGTTGCAGAACGAATCACACTCTCGAATGTCGTTCACTACGAATTCCTTCACTTCTATGACAGAAAAGACTTTTGAAATACGTAACAGCCTTAAAAAAGTTGCTGGAAATATTCATGAGAGAATTACACTCAAATTAGCATCGGTGGAAGTAAAAACATTATAAAGAAGATATTTTTTCCCTATTACTTTTATATTGCTATGGACTCAGGATGATATTTAGTAATTTGTCACAAATATATTAATTGTTATGTAAATATATTAATTGTTATTATTGTAAATTAATATAGAATCTTATCTAATTTTACAATCTCCCGGAAATTGCGCAATCTATTGCAGATTCACAATGCAGATGTAAACGATATATTGGAATACTTTCAATGTTAATGTCACCATTAGTTTATTAGAAAATTGTTTCATTGTGGACAGTTGTCAGATGTTTATCATATGCGATATAGCATCTTTTGATTTCTAGCATTATATATATTTCTAGCATTACATCTTTTACGTTTGTGCGATTTAAAGTTATATTCCTTACATATCAAGTAACTACTTTTGAATATAGTTTTACCTAATGCAATTGCGTGGCAATCAGTTACTACAATTTTGTAAATGTTTATGTGCTACTCAGTTACTATGAAATTAAATACGGCAAAACAGCAATGAAAAGTGTTTTTGATCCATATTCGATCGTTTCATTAAAATTGTCTTTATTTTTAAAATATTGAAATTATTAAAGTAGGGTTTGCTCAAGCAGAACAGAAAATTACGGTGGCGAGAAAATAAGCGTATTGTACTTGAAAAGCTTTTTAGTCATTTCCCGTCATTTCGGCATTATGTTGGACTTTTGGTGATTTTAAATAAAAATCGTACCGAGCAATGTTTACCGACATATATGAGATTGACGATGACAGAGCAACAAAAATAACTGATAATGACAATTATTAAAAATTGATGGTACCATTCACACATGAATTATTACACGATATATATCTCCTTCTTCTTTTGTATCTTCATCATCTTCTAAATATCATTATACTCGTGAAAGTTTATCACAAACGATTACTAAATGATTAAATACCTAAATAACTTATAGCTGTTTAATTCAGCACATTACAGATTTATTAATTTCGCATTATACTACTTCACGTCCCAGACAGCACAAGACCTCCTGACGACGTCCTAAGGACGTCCTGAGGACAAAGAATGTCTTCAGTATGTCCTCAGGATGTCCTCTGGATGTCTCCTGGACATCTGTGCTATTAGGGGTTCTTCTAGTGTATGCGCGTGCATGTTAATTGTAGATGTATAAAACAGTTGAAAAAATTAAGATTCATATTTTCACTACAACTCTGTCAATTTATTTGAAGTTTTTGCTCAGTTACGTGTTAGTTTTTATTATGTGTTAGTTTCTAGCTATTATTGTATAGCTGGAAGACAATTCAAAAGGCGCTTTTGTTCGGACACAAATGATCATCGCTCTTCAGCGCGGTTCGCAGTATAAATATTCGCGACACCAAGCTTCGCAAGTTCTTTCTGCAGTGCACATTGCTGCCACACGGCACGCGAGGGCTATATACAAGGTGAGAAAGCTCATTTTTTCAATAAACAAAGAATCGATTCGCTCTTTTGCGCCGTTTGAATTTCTTTCCTAAAATTCTGTTTTCGTTTGCATCTCGCCTAAACACGCATTCTTTAGCGTCTACAAAGAATTGCACGTTGCACGTGACCTTACGCGAAAACTGAAGTCGCGAAGGTAGATCGATCCCGCGGAAGTAACCTCACAGAGACACCAGGATTATTCAGTAATTAGCGAATCACGATGATAGTTATACCCATGATACCGTTTTTCCTAGGTCAGTTGAACGTTCCGTTACTCGGTTAAACCTCGGTACGGTCTCATTACAACGAGTAATGTCATGCTCGACTTTTTTTAGGCTATCTTGCACAGAATACAAGCAGCCCTACGCCCTCGTACATATTCCACGTGCGGATAGAAACGTTATTATTCGGAGACTCAGAAACACGTAATAATGAAGGCAACGTCGGCCTGCAGTTCAATCTGAAATGTCAGCCGTATATGGATCAAAATTTAAAATGTCATATCGAGAAGACCACTTCTTATTCACATGGCATTGACCCCGCATACACAATAGACAAACTCAGCAACATACCTTGCGTAATGAACTTCCAATCGTTCGGAGTAACGAGTTATGACGTATTCCCGGAAAACGTGAGAAACAAGGAAACTGTGTTGGAAGTATTCCGGTTTATCGCGTATGAGCTGAGCGTCGGCGTTGACCTCACCAAATACTACGGCTATGAATTCAGCGCAATAGAGGACACCGTTATCGGCATATGCGGAACAATTTACAAATTAAGTCGTAATAAGGCTTCCAATTATATAAGTTATTCCGAGCTGGTCTCCTTAATTGCGAAGGAGGAGTACATTATGAAGAAGAACGAATCGGTCCTTATTAATAAAATAAGAATTGTGGAAGATTGCACACCGAAGGACGATTCTATCCTGGGAAGGATCTTATGGCCCAACCTCATAACATCGAATGTTATCGCGAAGCCGGTACGTATCACAAATTCACTTAGGCCCTCGTGATTGGAATGCAGGAATTTCGATTCGCACGACTCGACCACATCAACAGAGGCGTTTTTTCGTTTCGTGACCACGGTAGCGTTTGGATGGTTAGTTTGGTCACTTAACACTCGCAAAATCGCGAGTATCATTCTATCTTTGTTTCTCGAGGCGTTGCGAGAGGTAAGTGGACCAAACTAATCAACAAAACGCTACCGTGGTCACGAAGCGAAAAAACGCCTTTGTTGACGTGTCGTTGGCCGTTGCATCGACTTCTCTTATTTCGCTGATTCAACAGTTTAATCGTAGTCAAGAAACTGTCTAAGGATACGCGGTAGAAATCAATAGAACACGATAAGTTCAAAGTCAATATCCCGACATAACCTAATCCTAAACACAATGTTGTCATTGTTTTGGTCTCCAAATATAAATATATTCAAACGTTCAGCGTAGAACATATGTATCTTATATTGTTATATATTATGTTAGAATATCCTATTTTGAAAGTTTAAATACTGAAAACCAGTTTTTTTCAATGATAGTTTAAACTTGGATTCAAGTTTAGCTTCTAACAATGCTTTTGTTTTATTTAAACAGAGTTTAAGTTGAAATCTAAGTTTAAACTATCATTGAAAAACTGCCCCTTAAAGACCAAAAATAGTGAGAACGTTCAGAATTAGTCACGTGACATTGATAATTTTATATTGTGCGTGAATTAATTTCGATAACGATCGCCGGGCAACTCGTCGCGACATTCAACCCATTGGACATAGTTGTGAAGAAGAAAGTTAATCAATATAAGTACATAAATTAGTTAGCATTAAATGGGTAATTAATGCATTTTTTTTAATGCAAAGCGGCTCGTGTGATTTTAGATTATAAGTATATTCTCGAGTGTGTGTGTATGCATTTTTGTTTGTTGCAGCTAGCCTCGGGGTCTCAAGTGACATATACTCAGCACGATTTTTACACCAAGACTATAAATGAATTTAATCTCTATAATAAGCAACATAGGGTGGTTGGCTCTGTCCAGGAAACGATTGATCTTAAATTGGCATGGATAGAAAACTGAAAAACGCAACACGAGTATCGCATCTATTCGTTCAATGAAACGCTGAGGATTACACTCAGTGACCTCAATTTGATAACGGGCAAAATTACACGGAGGATGTATTTATAATTCGTTTTTAAAATATTGTTGACATGCAGTATTAAACTGCATAAAGTGTTACTATTATTATAACTACAAAAACACGATATATATTTCTTACTCTTTTATGTCCTTCGGTGACTTATTGTTGGTATAGATAACGATATACAGCCTTTGTTATGTTATTTTTTCTTTAATAAAATTTATAATTTTGCAGCCCGATAACTTCTCCGACTTGCTAAATTCTTCTCTTTATGAAAAGAGAATCACTAAATAATAAATTTTTTATTCTTATTGCCTCGCCACTCACTTATGTGTACATATATGTATCCCAAGAGCGTAATTAAAAATATTTCATGAGTCCATTACTGATGCAATCATACGATAACAAATATAGGTAAACGATTTATTAGGACCTTCCTTCATCGATATTGTGTATTAGTTTATTACATGTATTGTTAAATCTGTCATACATTATCTAGCTATTATTGTTTTTATTATCTAGCTGGAAGACGATTCGAAAGGCGCTTTTGTCCGGACACAAATAATCATCGCTCCTCAGCTGCGCGGTTCGCAGTATAAATATTCGCAACACCAAGCTTCGCAAGTTGTTTCTGCGGAGCACACGTTCCTACCACACGGCACGCGAGGGCTATTTACAAGGTGAGAAAGTTCGTTTCTTCAATAAACAAAGAATCGATTCGCTCTTTTGCGCCGTTTGAATTTCTTTCCTAAAATTCTGTTTTCATTTGCATTTCGCCTGAACACTCATTCTTTAGCGTCTACAGAGAATTGCACGTTGCTTGTGACCTTACGCGAAAACTGAAGTCGCGAAGATAGATCGATCCCGCGGAAGCAACCTCACGGAGACACCAGTATTATTCAGTAATTAGCGGATCACGATGGTAGTTATACCTATGATACCGTTTTTCCTAGGTCAGTTGAACGTTCCGTTACTCGGTTAAACCTCGGGACGGTCTCATTACAACGAGTAATGTCATGCTCGACTTTTTCCAGGCTATCTTGCAGGGAATACAAGTGACCCTACGCCCTCGTACACATTTCAAGTGCGGATAGAAACGTTATTATTCAGAACACGTAATATAGAAGGCAACGCCGACATGCAGTTCCATCTGAAATGTCAGCCGTATACGGATCAAAATTTAATATGTCACATCGAGAAGAGCCCTTCTTATTCACCTAACACTGACCGCGCACACATAATAGACAAACTCAGCAACATACTTTGCATAATGAACTTCCATCCGTACGGATTAAGAAGTTATGACTTATTCCCGGAAAACGTGGAAAACAAGGAGACTGCGTTGGAAGTATTTCGGTTTGTCGCGCATCAGCTGAACGTCGGCGTGAACCTTAAAAAATACTACGCCGTCGAATTCAGTGCGTTAGAGGACACCGTTATCGGCATATGCGCGACAATTTATAAAATAAGTCGAAATAAGGCTTCCAATTATATAATAAATTCCGAGCTGGTCTCCTTAATTGAGAATGAAATGTACACTATAAAGAAGGACGAATCGGTCAATATTAAGAAAATAAGGCTTGTGCAATATTGCCAATCGAGGAACGACTCTATCTTCGGAAGGATCTTATGGCCCAACCTCATAACATCGAATATCGTCGCGAAGCCGGTACGTATCGACGACTTCATTTAGACCCTCGTGGTTATTAGAACGCAGGAGTTTCGATTCGCACGACTCGACTACGTCAACAGAGGCGTTTTTTCGTTTCGTGACCACGGTAGCGTTTGGTTGGTTAGTTTGGTCCACTTAACACTCGCAAATCTGCAAGCGTCATTCTATCTTTGTTGCTCGAGGCATTGCGAGAGTTAAGTAGACCAAACTAATCAACCAAACGCTACCATGGTCACGAAACGAAAAAACGCCTCTGTTGGCCGTTGCATCGACTCCTTTTGTTTCGCTTGTTCAACAGTTTAATCGTAGTCAACAAACTGTCTAAGGATCCGCGGTAGAAATCAATAGAACAAGTTAAATTCAAAGTCAACTTCCCGACATACCCCTATTCCTAGACACAATGTTGTTATTGTTTTGTTCTTCAAATACAAATATGTTCAAACATTCAGCCTAGAACATGTGTATCGTATATTGTTATATATTATGTTAGAATATTTTATGTTGAAAGTTTAAACACTGAAGGCCGGTTTTTTCAATGATAGTTTAAACTTGGTTTCAAGTTTAGCTTCTAACAATGCTTTTAAGCTAAACCTAAGTTTAAACTATCATTGAAAAACTGCCACTTAAAGACCAAAAATAGTAAGAACGTTTAGAATTAGTCACGTGACATTGATAATTTTACATTGTGCGTGAATTAATTTTGATAACGATCGCCGGGCAACTCGTCGCGACATTCAACCCATTAGACATATTTGTGAAGAAGAAAGTTAATCAATATAAGTACATAAATTAGATAGTATTAACTGGGTAATTAATACATATTGTCAAAGCGGCTCATGTGATTGTGAGATTATAAGTATATTCTCGAGTGTGTGTGTATACATTTTTATTTGTTGCAGTTTATTTCGGGGTCTGAAATGACATATAACCTGCGCGATTTCTACACCAGTACTTCAAATCAATTTAATCTCTATAATGAGCAAGGTAGGATAGTTGGCTCTGTCCAGGAAACGATTAATCTTAAATTGGTAAGGATAGAAAACTGAAAAACGCGACACGAGTATCGCATCTATTCGTTCAATGAAACGCTGAGGATTACACTCAGTGACATCAATTTGGTAACGGGCAAAATTACACGGAGGATGTATTTTTAATTCGTTTTTAAAATATTGTTGACATGGAGTATTAAACTGCATAAAGTGTTACTATTATTATAACTACAAAAACACGATATATATTTCTTACTGTTTTATGTCCTTCGGTGACTTATTGCTGGTATAGATGACGATATACCGCCTTTGTTATGTTGTTATTTTTACTTTAATAAAATTTTGCCGCCCGATAACTTCTCCGACTTGCTTAATTCTTCTCTTTATGAAAAGAGAATCACCAAATAATAAATTTCTTATTCTTATTACCTCGTCACTCACTTATGTGTACATATATGTGTCTCAAGAGCGTAATTAAAAGTATTTCATGAGTCCATTACTGATGCAATCATACGAAACAAATACAGGTAAACGATTTATTAGAACTTTCCTTCGTCGATATTGTCTATTAGTTTATTATGTGTATTGTTATATCTGTCACACATTATCGTAGCATCTGTATATGTTTGTGTTTTGTTTGTGTCTATTTCTTACGGTAAAGCATCTTATAAACTTTGACGGATCTCTGTTCGACAGAGTAATGATCCTCTTCAAATAGCATAGAACATGTGGATGGAAACATTTGCGATCAGGGAAATAAGGTAAAAGAATTATAATATAACATAAGAAAACCGCCTGAATTTTGCTTCTGAAATCTCACTCGTCCTCTCATCTTTTCAAATGCACTCTTCAGCATTTAAAAAGTGCATCACGCAGAGCAGCACTTAGCACGAAAATTGCAGCCAAGAGAAATCGATTACAAATTGTGATCAGACTTCTTCATGGCAACTGTACACGTGATACCTTTTCTCTTAGGTAAGTTCAGTGTTCTGTTGCTCGATTACTTTTATACGATCTCAGCTACTAACCTTATTATCGATTTTCTCCAACCACGGTAGTTCCGAGTAGCGAAACAACCAACAAATCTGTATTCACATTTAAAGTGTGGACACAGATAAAACACGACGAACTATTGCACAAACTAGATACGTCATATGACAATACCCTGTTTAACATTGTCGTGTGTGAGCCGTCCTTATCTGGTCTTGGTTGTTTCATCGACAAAGTCAAGCATACTTATAAAAAGGATTTTTAGAATTGCAACTTCGTTGTAACTTCTATCATCTATAAGCGAGTACAGTTCGTAATAACATTCAATATGTACAAAGTGGTATGTTACATTTATATGCAAGACGGCCCGAATACGTCGTTTTTGCGAGACATCTGCGAGATGGTCGGGGATCAGCTGAATATCGGTACGGACATAGTAATACCGAACGGACATTACTTCAAAGCGCTGGAGAATTCCGCTATCGGCAGATGCCTGACGTTTTATCAAGTCTTTTATCAACCTGGCTATAATGTGTCCGATTACTTTCTGGAGCGAACATTTCACATATTAGGCAACAAAGATTTTAAGCTTATTCCAAATCACATTTTGCATGTTAGCAAATACAGATACATGGACAGGTGCTCTCCGTCGCATGATTATATGTTGGGAAAAATGTTCCAGCCCGAGTACATTCCAGATGACTACGTCTTGAAATTAGTACGTATCGATGAATTCATTTAGTAATCAGGATTATTGAGATTTTGTTTCGCATGATTTGAGAACGTAGATAGTCATTTTTGCAGACGTCGGTCGTCACGCTGAATTTCTTTTTTAGTTGAATAGCTTGATTAGTTTCTGTAGCTTTCATAACAAAAACATAACATAAACATAATTATAGGAATCTGTGCGATAAAGGATTTGCTCGCGACTGGTGCATGAATTAATGCATTCACATTTATTCATTTGCATTAACAATGTGCAATTAATACACTTTGAAGGAGAATGGGATACATCGAATAAATTATATGAAAATGTAAAGTGTTACGAGTTAATGTAACCTTGATTATGTGTGTGCGCGATTATTTATTGCAGAACGAATCACACTCTCGAATGTCGTTCACTATGAATTCCTTCACTTCTATGACAGAAAAGACTTTTGAAATACGTAACAGCCAGTAAAAAGTTGCCGGAGATATTCATGAGAGAATTACACTCGAATTAGCATCGGTGGAAGTAAAAACATTCTAAAGAAGATATTTTTTCTCTATTACTTACATATTGCTACGGACTCAGGACGATATGTAGTAATTTATCACAAAGATATTAATTGTTATGCAAATATATTAATTGTTATTATTGTAAATTAATATTTAATCGTATCTAATTTTACAATCTCCTGAAAATTACGTAATCTATTGCAGATTCACAATGCAGATGTAAACGATCTATTGGAATACTTCTAATGTTAATGTCACCATTAGTTTGTTAAATAATTGTTTCAATACGGACATTTTTTTATTATATGCGATATAGCATCTTTTGATTTCTAGCATTATACATATTTCTAGCATTACATCTTTTACGTTTGTGCGATTTAAAATTATATTCGATATAAATCAAGAAACTAGTTTTGAATATAGTTTTACCTAATGCAATTGCGCGGCAAACAGTAACTACATTATTGTAAATGTTTATGTACTACTCAGTTACTATGCAATTAAATACGGTAAAACAGCAATAAGAAGTACTTGATCCATTTTCGATTGCTTTATTAACTTTGTTATTATTTTTAAAATATTGAAATTTTTAAAGTAGAGCTTGCCCAAGAAGACCAAAAAATTACGATGGCGAGAAAATAAGCCAATTGTGCTTGAAAAGCTTTTTAGTTATTTCGGCATTATCTTGACCTTTCGGTGGTTTTAAATAAAAATCGTACCGAGCAATGTTTACCGACATATATGAGATTGACGATGACAGAGCAACAAAAATAACTGATAATGACAATTATTAAAAATTGATGGTACTATCTACACATGAATTTTTACACGATATATATCTCCTTTTTCTTTTGTATCTTCATCATCGTCTAAATATCATTATACGCGTTTATAACAGTTTATCACAAACGATTACTAAATGATTAAATAACTAAATAACTTATCTGTTTAATTCTACACATTACAGATCATCAGTTCATTAATTTCACCTTAATTCTACCTCACGTTCTACAAGTTAATCGTTGATGTATAAAACAGTTGAAAAAATTAAGATTCATATTTTAACTACAACTCTGTCATTTTATTTGAAGTTTTTGTTCAGTTACTTGTTAGTTTTTATTATGTGTTAGTTGCTAGCTATTATTGTATAGCTGGAAGACGATTCGAAAGGCGCTTTTGTCCCGACACAAATGGTCACCGCTCCTCAGCTGCGCGGTTCGCAGTATAAATATTCGCGACATCACGCTTCGCAAGTTGTTTCTATGGCGCACACGTTCCTACCACACGGCACGCGAGGGCTATTTACAAGGTGAGATAGTTCGTTTCTTCAATAAACAAAGAATCGAATTCGCTCGTTTGCGCCGTTGGAATTTCTTTCCTAAAATTCTGTTTTCATTTGCATTTCGCCTGAGCACTCATTCTTTAGCGTCCACAAAGAATTGCACGTTGCTCGTGACCTTCCGCGAAAACTGAAGTCGCGAAGATAGATCGATCTCGCGGAAGCAACCTCACGGAGACACCAGTATTATTCAGTAATTAGTGGATCACGATGATAGTTATACCCATAATACCGTTTTTCCTAGGTCAGTTGAACGTTCCGTTACTCGGTTAAACCTCGGGACGGTCTCATTACAACGAGTAATGTCATGCTCGACTTTTTCCAGGCTATCTTGCACGGAATACAAGCAACCCTACGCCCTCGTACATATTTCACGTGCGGATAGAAACGGAATTATTCAGATACTCAGGAACACATAATAATGAAGACAAAGCCGACCTGCAGTTCCGTCTGAAATGTCAGCCGTATATGGATCAAAATTTAAAATGTCACATCGAGAAGAGCCCTTCTTATTCTCCTAGCACTGACTCCGCATACATAATAGACAAACTCAGCAACGTACGTTGCATAATGAACTTCCAGCCGTCCGGAGTAAAGAGTTATGACGTATTTCTGCAAAACGTGAAAAACAAGGAGACTGCGTTGGAAGTATTTCGGTTTATCGTGCATCAGCTGAACGTCGGCGTTGACCTCAAAAAATATGACGGCAACGAATTCGATGCGATAGAGGAAACCGTTATCGGCACATGCAAGACAGTTTACATGATAAGTCGTAATTACGCTCGCAATTATATAATATATTCCAAGCTGGTCTCCTTAATTGCGAAGGAGGAGTACATTATGAAGAAGGACGAATCGGTCAATATTAATAAAATGAGAAATGTGGAAAATTGCATACTGAGGAACGATTCTATCCTGGGAAGGATCTTATGGCCAAACCTCATAACACCGAATTTCACCGCGAAGCCGGTACGTATCGACGAGTTCATTTAGGCCCTCGTGGTTATTAGAACGCAGGAGTTTCGATTCGCACGACTCGACTACGTCAACAGAGGCGTTTTTTCATTTCGTGACCACGGCAGCGTTTGGTTGCTTAGTTTGGTCTACTTAACACTCGCAAAACCGCGAGCGTCATTCTATCTTTGTTGCTCGAGGCGTTGCGAGAGTTAAGTAGACCAAACTAATCAACCAAACGCTACCATGATCACGAAACGAAAAAACGCCTCTGTTGGCCGTTGCATCGACTCCTTTTGTTTCGTTTGTTCAACAGTTTAATCGTAGTCAATAAACTGTCTAAGGATATGCGGGCTCGATAGAAGAAGTTATGTTCAAAGTCAACTTCCTGACATATACCTAATCCTAGACACAATGTTGTTATTATTTTAGTCTTCAAATACAAATATATTCAAACATTCAGCGTGAAACATGATATGTATCTTATATTGTTATATATCATGTTAGAATATTTTATGTTGAAAGTTTAAACACTGAAGGCCGGTTTTTTCAATGATAGTTTAAACTTGGATTCTAGTTTAGCTTCTAACAATGCTTTTATTTTATTTGAACAGAGTTTAAGTTGAAATCTAAGTTTAAACTATCATTGAAAAACTGCCCCTTAAAGACCAAAAATAATGAGAACGTTCAGAAGTAGTCACGTGACATTGATAATTTTACATTGTGCGTCAATTAATTTCGATAACGATCGGCGGGCAACTCGTCGCGACATTCAACCCATTAGACATAGTTGTGAAGAAGAAAGTTAATCAATATAAGTACATAAATTAGTTAGCATTAAATGGGTAATTAATGCATTTTTTTTAATGCAAAGCGGCTCGTGTGATTTTAGATTATAAGTATATTCTCGAGTGTGTGTGTATGCATTTTTGTTTGTTGCAGCTAGCCTCGGGGTCTCAAGTGACATATACTCAGCACGATTTTTACACCAAGACTATAAATGAATTTAATCTCTATAATAAGCAACATAGGGTGGTTGGCTCTGTCCAGGAAACGATTGATCTTAAATTGGCATGGATAGAAAACTGAAAAACGCAACACGAGTATCGCATCTATTCGTTCAATGAAACGCTGAGGATTACACTCAGTGACCTCAATTTGATAACGGGCAAAATTACACGGAGGATGTATTTATAATTCGTTTTTAAAATATTGTTGACATGCAGTATTAAACTGCATAAAGTGTTACGATTATTATAACTACAAAAACACGATATATATTTCTTACTCTTTTGTGTCCATCAATGACTTATTGCTGGTATAGATAACAATATACAACCTTTGTTTTGTTGTTATTTTTTCTTTAATAAAATTTATAATTTTGCTGCCCGATAACTTCTCCGACTTGCTTAATTCTTCTCTTTATGAAAAGAGAATCACCAAATAATAAATTTCTTATTCTTATTACCTCGTCACTCACTTATGTGTACATATATGTGTCTCAAGAGCGTAATTAAAAATATTTCATGATCCATTACTGATCACATGATACGAAACAAATACAGGTAAACGATTTATTAGGACTTTCCATCGTCGATATTGTGTATTAGTTTATTATGTGTATTATTATATCTGTTATACATTATCGTAGCATCTGTATATGTTTGTGTTTTGTTTGTCTCTATTTCTTACGGTAAAGCAGCTTATAAACTTTAATGGATCTCTGTTCGATAGAGTAATGATCGTCTTCAAATACCATAGAACATGTGGATGGCAACATTTGCGATCATGCAAACAAGGTAAAAGACTTAAGGTAAGAAAACCTCCTGAATTTTGCTTCTGAAATCTCACTCGTCCTATCATCTTTTTAAACGCACTCTTTAGCATTTGAAGAAAGTTAATCAATATAAGTACATAAATTAGTTAGCATTAACTGGGTAATTAATGCATTTTGTCAAAGCGGCTCGTGTGATTGTGAGATTATAAGTATATTCTCGAGTGTGTGTGCATTTTTGTTTGTTGCATCTATCCTCGGAGTCTCAAATGACATATACTCTGCACAATTTCGACACCAACACTATGAATGCATTTAAACTCTATAATGAGCAACATAGGATAGTTGGCTCTGTCCAAGAAACGATTAATCTTAAATTGATAAAGATAGAAAACTGAAAAACGCGACACGAGTATCTATTCGTTCAATAAAATGCTGAGGATTACACTCAGTGACCTCAATTTGGTAACGGCAAAATTAAACGGAAGAGGTATTTTTAATTCGTTGAAGAGTGCATCACGCAGAACAGCACTTAGCACGAAAATTGCAGCCAAGAGAAATCGATCACAGTTTGTGATCAGTTTGTGATCAGTTTCTTCATGGCAACTTTACAGGTGATACCTTTTCTCCTAGGTAAGTTGAGCGTTCTATTGCTCGACTACTTTTATACGATCTCAACTACTAACGTTATTATCGGTCTTCTCCAGCCACGATAGTTCCGAGTAGCGAAGCAACCAACAAATCTGTATTCACAGTCAAGGTGTGGATACAGATAAAACACGACGAACTATTGAACAAACCAGATATATGATAATACCCTGTTTATCATTGACGTGTGTGAGCCGTCCTTATCATTTGATCTGGATTGTTTCATCGACAAAATTCAGCATACTTATAAAACGAACTTTTCCAATGACAACTTCGTTGTGCCTTCTATCATCTACGAGCAAGTACAGTTCGTAATAACACTCAATATGTACAAAGTGCAATGTTACATCTATATGCAAGACGGCCCGAATAAGTCGTTTCTGCGAGACATCTGCGAGATGGTCGGGGATCAGCTGAATATCGGGACGGACATAGTAACACCGACCGGACATTATTTCAAAGCGTTGGAGAATTCCGCTATCGGCAAATGCCTGACGTTTTACCAAGTCTTTTATTAACCTGGCTATAATGTGTTCGATTACTGTTTGGACCGAACATTTCACATATTAGGCAACAAGGTTTTCAAACTTATTCCAAACCACATTTTGCATGGTAGCAAATACAGATACATGGACAGGTGCTCTCCGTCGCATGATTATATGTTGGGAAAAATGTTCCAGCCCGAGTACATTCCAGATGACTACGTCTTGAAATTAGTACGTATCGATGAATTCATTTAGTAATCAGGATTATTGAGATTTTGTTTCGCATGATTTGAGAACGTAGATAGTCATTTTTGCAGACGTCGGTCGTCACGCTGAATTTCTTTTTTAGTTGAATAGCTTGATTAGTTTCTGTAGCTTTCATAACAAAAACATAACATAAACATAATTATAGGAATCTGTGCGATAAAGGATTTGCTCGCGACTGGTGCATGAATTAATGCATTCACATTTATTCATTTGCATTAACAATGTGCAATTAATACACTTTGAAGGAGAATGGGATACATCGAATAAATTATATGAAAATGTAAAGTGTTACGAGTTAATGTAACCTTGATTATGTGTGTGCGCGATTATTTGTTGCAGAACGAATCACACTCTCGAATGTCGTTCACTATGAATTCCTTCACTTCTATGACAGAAAAGACTTTTGAAATACGTAACAGCCAGCAAAAAGTTGCCGGAGATATTCATGAGAGAATTACACTCGAATTAGCATCGGTGGAAGTAAAAACATTATAAAGAAGATATTTTTGCCCTACTACTTTTATATTGCTATGGACTCAAGATGATATGTACTAATTTGTCACAAATATATTAATTGTTATTCAAATATATTAATTGTTATTATTGTAAATTATTATTTAATTATATCTAATTTTACTATCTCCCGAAAATTACGTAGTCTATTGCAGATTCACAATTCAGATGTAAACGATCTATTGGAATACTTCTAATGTTAATGTCACTATTTGTTTGTTAGATAATTGTTTCACTGTGGACAGTTGTTTATCATATGCGATATAACATCTTTTGATTTCTAGCATTATACATATTTCTAGCATTACATCATTTACGTTTGTGCGATTTAAAATTATATTCCTTATAAATCAAGAAACTATTTTTGAATATAGTTTTACCTAATGCAATTGCGTGGCAATCAGTAACTACATTTTTGTAAGTGTTTATGTACTACTCAATTACTATGCAATTAAATACGGTAAAAAAGCAATGAAAAGTACTTGATCAATGTTCGATCGTTTCATTAAATTTGATTTTATTTTTATAATATTGAAATTATTATAGTAGGGTTTGTCCAAGAAGAACAGAAAATTACGATGGCGAGAAAATAAGCGAATTGTGCTTGAAAAGCTTTTTAGTCATTTCTCGTCATTTCGGCATTATGTTGACCTTTCGGTGATTTTAAATAAAAATCGTACCGAGCAATGTTTACCGACATATATGAGATTGACTATGACAGAGCAACAAAAATAACTGATAATGATAATTATTAAAAATCGATGGTATCATTCACACATGAATTATTACATTGTATATATCTTCTTTTTTTTTGTATTTTCATCGTCATCTGAATATCATTATACGCGTTTATACGCGTTATACGCGTAACAGTTTACCACAAACGATTACTAAATGATTAAATAACTAAATAACATATATCTGTTTAATTTTGCACATTACAGATTATCAGTTCATTAATTTTGCATTAATGCTACTTCACGTTCTATTAGTGTATGCGCGTACTTGTTAATCGTAGATGTATAAAACAATTGAAAATATTAAGATTCATATTTTCACAACGACTCTGTCAATTTATTTGAATTTTTTGTTCAGTTACGTGTTAGTTTTTATTATGTGTTAGTTTCTAGCTGTTATTGTATTACTGGGAAACGATTCGAAAGGCGCTTTTGTCCGGACAAATGATCATCGCCCTTCAGCTGCGCGGTTCGCAATATAAATATTCGCGACGCCAAGCATTCGCAAGTTGTTTCTGCGGCGCACACGCTTTTACCACACGACACGCGAGGGCTATATACAAGGTGAGAAAGCTCGTTTCTTCAATAAACAAAGAATCTATACGCTCTTTTGCGTCGTTCGAATTTCTTTCCTAAAATTCTGTTTTCGTTTGCATCTCGCCTGAACACGCATTCTTTAGTGTCTACAGAGAATTGCACGGTGCTCGCGACCTTACGCGAAAACTGAAGTCGCGAAGATAGATCGATCCCGCGGAAGCAACCTCTGACAGAGACACCAGGATTATTCAGTAATTAGCGGATCACGATGACAGTTTTACCCATGATACCGTTTTTCCTAGGTCAGTTGAACGTTTCGTTACTCAGTTAAACCTCGGTACGGTCTCATTACAACGAGTAATGTCATATTCGACTTTTCCCAGGCTATCTTGCACAGAATACAAGCAACCCTACGCCCTCGTACATATTCCACGTGCGGATAGACACGTTACTCACCGGCGAACTATTAACACATTATAATGACGGCAACTTCGGCGAGGAGTTCAAACTGATATGTCAGCCGTATATAGATCAAAGTTTAAAATGTCACATTCCAAAGTTCACTTCATCAAGCATGGCTCCCGCACTCAACAACTTTTTTACACCGACAGTTTTCACCAATATACCTTGCGTAATAAACTTCGATCCGAAAGGAGCAACGAGTTATAACTTATTGAAGAAAAACGTGAAAGACAAGGAGACTGTGTTAAAAGTATTCCGGTTTATCGGGCATCAGCTGAGCGTCGGTGTTGACCTCACCCATTGGTCGAACTACGATTTCAACGCGTTCGAAGACACAGTTATCGGCATATGCCCGACAATGTACAGAATAAATCGACATGTGGATTTCAGTTATATAACATATTTCGAACTGGTTTCCTTAATTGCGAAGGACACATACATTCTGAAGAAGAACGAAACTGTCCATATTAGTAAAAATAGACTTGCGGAATATTGCTCCCCGCAGGACGGTACTATTCTCGGAATGATCTTATCGCCCAACTTCATAATATCGAATGTCACCTCAAAGGCGGTACGTATCGACGAATTCACTTAGGCCTTCGTGGTCATTGAAACGCAGAAATTTCGATTCGCATGACTCGACTACGTCAACAGAGGCGTCTTTTTTTTTCGCGACCACGGTAGCGTTTGGTTGGTGAGTTTGGTCCACTTAACACTCGCAACACCGCGAGCGTCTTTCTATCTTTGTTGTTCGAGGCGTTGCGAGTTAAGTGGACCAAACTAACCAAACAAACGCTACCGTAGTCACGAAACGATAAAACGCTTTTGACGTATCGTTGGCCGTTGCATCGACTCCTTTTGTTTTGCTTGTTCAATAATTTAATCGTAGTCAAGAAACTGTATAAGAATACGCGGTACAGCAATCAATAGAAAAAGTTAAGTTCAAAGTCAACTTCTCGACATACACCTAGTCCTGGACACAATGTTGTTATTAGTTTGGTCTTCAAATACAAATATATTCAAACTTTCAGCGTAGAACATATGTATCTTATGTTGTTATATATTGTATTAAAATATTCTATTTTGAAAGTTTAAACACTGAGGTTTTTCAATGATTGTTTAAACTTGGTTTCAAGTTTAGCCTATAACAATGCTTTTGTTTTATTTAAACAGAGTTTAAGTTGAAATCTAAATTTAAACTATTATTAAAAAACTGCCCCTTAAAGACCAAAAATAGTGAGAACGTTCAGAATTAGTCACGTGGCATTGATACCTTTCCTTTTTGCGTGAATTAATTTCGATAACGATCGCCGGGTAACTCGTCGCGACATTCAACGCATTAGACATAGTTGTGAAGAAGAAAGTTAATCAAAATAAGTACATAAATTTGTTTGCATTAATTAGGTAATTAATGCATTTTGTCAAAGCGGCTCGTGTGATTATGAGATTACAAGTATATTCTCGATTGTGTTTGTATGCATTTTTGTTTCTTGCAGGTAGCCTCGCATGTTCTAATGTCGTATACTCAGCATGATTTCTACACCAAGTCTGTAAATGCATATAATATCTATGATGAGCAAGGTAAAGGCGGTTTTGTCCAGGAAACGATTAATCTTAGATTGGGATTGATAGAAAGCTGAAAAACGCGACAGGAGTATCGCATCTATTCGTTAAATCAAAAGCTGAGGATTATACTCAATGACCCCAATTTGGTAACGAGCAAAATTACATGGAGGACATATGTATAATTCGTTTTTAAAATATTGTTGACATGTAATATTAAACTGCATAAAATGTTATTATTATTATAATTACGAAAACATGATATATATTTCTTACTCTTTTATGTCCTTCGGTGACTTATTGCTGGTATAGATAACGATATACAGCCTTTGTTATGTTGTTATTTTTTCTTTAATAAAATTTATAAGCTTGACTCTCGATAACTTCTTCGACTTGTTTAATTTTACACTTTATGAGAATAGAATTACCAGATAATAAATTTCTTATTTTTATTATATCGTCATTGACTTATGTGTATGTACATATATGTGTGTTAAGGCCGTAATTAAAAATTTTTTTGAGTCTATTATTGACGCAATCATACAATACAGATACAGATAAGAGATTTATTAGGACTCTCCTTCGTCGATGTGTGTTAGTTTGTTATGTGTATTGTTATATCCGTCATACATTATAGCTTCTGTATGTGTGTTTTGTTTGTGCTTATTTATAAACCAGCTTATAAACTTTGGTGGATATTTGTGCTCGATAAAATATTGATCGTCTTCAAATAGAATAGGACATGTGGATGACATTTGCGATAAGACAAACAAGGTAAAATGCTTATGACAAAAGAGCTGCCCAAATTTTGCTTCTGAAATATCACTCGTTCTCTCATCTTGTCAAACGCACTCTTCAATATTTGAAGAGTGCATCACGCAGAGCAGCACTTTGCGCGAGAATTGCAGCAAGAGAAATTGACCACAGTTTGTGACGAGACTTCTTCATCATCATAGCAACTTTATAGGTAATACCTTTTCTTCTAGGTAAGTTGAGAGTTTTGTTGCTCGATTAAGCTTTGATACGATCTCATTACAACTACTAACGTCATTATCGATCTTCTCGAGCCACGGTAGTTCCGAGTAGCGAAGCAACCAACAGATTTGTATTAACATTCAAAGTATGGATACAGATAAAGCACGACGAGGTAGTGAACAAACTAGATACGTTATGACAATACCCTGTTTATCATTGTTGTGTGTAAGCCGTCCTTATTATCTGATCTAGATTGTTTCATCATCAAAGACAAGCATACTTATAAAAAGGACTTTTACATTGACAACTTTATTGTGCCTGCTACCATTAAAAATTGATGGTACCATTCACACATGAATTTTTACACGATATATATCTCCTTTTTCTTTTGTATCTTCATTATCGTCTAAATATCATTATACGCGTTTATAACAGTTTATCACAAACGATTACTAAATGATTAAATAACTAAATAACATATATCTGTTTAATTCTGCACATTGCAGATCATCAGTTCATGAATTTCGCATTAATTCTACTTCACGTTCTACTAGTGTATGCGCGTATATGTTAATCGTAGATATATAAAACAATTGAAAAAAATAAGATTTATATTTTTACTACGACTCTGGCAATTTATTTGAATTTTTTATTCAGTTACGTGTTAGTTTTTATTATGTGTTAGTTTCTAGCTATTATTGTATAGCTGGAAGACGATTCGAAAGGCGCTTTTGTCCGGACACAAATGATCATCGCTCTTCAGCTGCGTGGTTCGCAATATAAATATTCGCGACGCCAAGCGTTCGCAAGTTGTTTCTGCGGCGCACACGTTCCTACCTTATGACATGCGAGGGCTATATACAAGGTGAGAAAGCTCGTTTTTTCAATAAACAAAGAATCTATTCGCTCTTTTGCGCCGTTCGAATTTCTTCCCTAAATTTCTGTCTTCGTTTGCATCTCGCCTGAACACGCATTCTACAGAGAATTGCGCGTTGCACGTGATCTTACGCGAAAACTGAAGTCGCGAAGATAGATCGATCCCGCGGAAGCAACCTCTGACAGAGACACCAGGATTATTCAGTAATTAGCGGATCACGATGACAGTTTTACCCATGATACCGTTTTTCCTAGGTCAGTTGAACGTTTCGTTACTCAGTTAAACCTCGGTACGGTCTCATTACGACGAGTAATGTCATATTCGACTTTTCCCAGGCTATCTTGCACAGAATACAAGCAACGTTACGCCCTCATACATATTCCACGTGCAGATAGACACGTTAATCTCCGGCGAACAAGAAACACGTTATGATGGCGGCAACTTCGGCATGAAGTTCAAATTGATATGTCAGCCGTATATATATCAAAGTTTAAAATGTCACATCTCGAAGATCACTTCTAGTTCACCGAGCATGGGCCCCGCACTCTACGACTTTTTTACACCGATAGTCTTCACCAATATACCTTGCGTAATAAACTTCGATTCGAAAGGAGCAACGAGTTATTACTTATTGAAGGAAAACGTGAAAGACAAGGAGATTGTGTTGGAAGTATTCCGGTTTATCGGGCATCAGCTGAGCGTCGGTGTTGACCTCACCCATTGGGGCTACGAATTCAACGCGTTCGAGGACACCGTTATGGGCACATGCGCGACAATGTACAGGATAACTCAAAAGAAGGCTTTCAATTATATAAAGTATTTCGAGCTGGTTTCCTTAATTCCGAAGGCATCATACATTATGAAGAAGAACGAAACTGTCCTTATTAATAAACATAGACTTGGGGAATATTGCTCCCCGCAGAACGGTACTATCCTCGGAATGATCTTATCGCCCGACTTAGTAATGTCGAATGTCACCTCAAAGGCGGTATGTATCGACGAATTCACTTAGGCCTTCGTGGTCATTGGAACGCAGAAATTTCGATTCGCACGACTTGACTACGTCAACAGAGGCGTCTTTTTTTTTCGCGACCACGATAGCGTTTGGTTGGTGAGTTTGGTCCACTTAACACTCGCAACACCGCGAGCGTCTTTCTATCTTTGTTGTTCGAGGCGTTGCGATAGTTAAGTGGACCAAACTAACCAACCAAACGCTACCGTAGTCACGAAACGATAAAACGCTTTTGACGTGTCGTTGGCCGTTGCATCGACTTCTTTTGTTTCGCTTGTTCAATAATTTAATCGTAGTCAAGAAACTGTATAAGAATACGCGGTACAGCGATCAATAGAAAAAGTTAAGCTCAAAGTCAACTTCTCGACATACACCTAGTCCTGGACACAATGTTGTTATTAGTTTGGTCTTTAAATACAAATATATTCAAATACAAGTATATTCAAACTTTTAGCGTAGAACATATGTATCTTATGTTGTTATATATTATATTAGAATATTCTATTTGAAAGTTTAAACACTGAGGTTTTTCAATGATTGTTTAAACTTGGTTTCAAGTTTAGCCTATAACAATGCTTTTGTTTTATTTAAACAGAGTTTAAGTTGAAATCTAAAGGATTTCGCACAAAATCTATGGAAAATGGTTTTCGGTCAAATTGGCTAAAATTTTACTATGTTATAGTTTTCGCCATGCTGATAAAAAGTTATCATTGCACCAAGTCCCAAAAGTCAATATTTCCCAAGATATAAAGGGTCAAAGTAGTGAAATATGGTCATCCGCAGTA